TACACGTCTGCTTCCCTTATAGCTGGGCTATAGCTTAGCTTGTTCTGGGAGTCTAGCTAGATGTTGGAGAATCTGCCATAGAGATTTCTGAGTCGGTCAGGCTTTATTAGAGTAGCGATCCGCTACAACTTCATCGGCGAATGGTTGAAAGTTATTTTCAAGAGAATACAAATTCGTAATTATTTAGAGTTGCACCAAAGTGTAAATATACTGTCAAATATTTGCATTATATTTTTGAATTAAGAAGTTTATATTTTAACTTATAAAACTCCACATTCACATTTTATTAAGCGAATTAATACGAATTATGCTATATTGCGAATAGTGATAACTTGTGTTCATTTCCTCCTAGCTAAAATATCAGATCTGTGAATACACCAGTAGAAAACATGTTATCATGCTTATTGTGAGTGCACAGATTAGGCGCGAGGCTCAAAATACAGCAGAACATTAGTTAAAGTAAAATACTTGAAAACATTTATGAAAGCCTTCATAGGATATTCTAAAGCAAATTGGATTAAGAGATTTCATTTTTCAAGATCTCTTCTAAATCATAAGATATGGCAATAAATCAAGTTCTTTAACCAGATTCAAATTCAATATTTAGTGAATCAATGATTTAAGCAGACTTTCAACGACATTAAAAGGGGTAAAAGTATTTCAAAACTCATGGATTGCTGCCTGTAATTACCTTTTAAACTTAGATAATAATGAAAGTAGAAATGACTGACATAAATTCTCCAAGTAAATGGATTTCAACTTCGCATAAGACTTCATATCTTTCTGAAACTTTGATAAAATGCATCCAAATTAATTATGGGGGGGAGGATTACTTGGTATCAACTACGTTGCCTGCGGATTGGAGTCAGTCGAATTTAAATAAATAAATGTCTAGGAAATTACGTTTTAAAGATTAGAGGTATTGGAGCTTTTTAAAAAAATCATCGTGCTAATATAAATTTAGTAGCATATTTTATTAGCGGGCATATACTTACCTCCTAGTTACTGAAATATTTGACTTAAATTCTAATCAATTCGCATTTTGTTGTAGATATTTTGACAATTTTCATTTCCTTGATAAGTCTGTTTGATCGCAAATAATTTTAATGTTGAAATGGTTACTTAAGTTCTAAGTTCAATTATTCGTCTCCAATAGTTTGATAATCAAATTTTTTTACAAATATGATTTTTTTTAGCATAAGCACGTATTAAATCGGTTTTTAGTACAGTTGAATATATTCATTCAAAGGAGCTAATTTTTGCTTTTTTATTTTTTTGTTTAATTGACTTAATCTATTATCGTTCAGTTGTAAACCACGAAAGTTAATTTCGAGTTTTTTTTAGATTTATGTGAACGGCGCTATTTCGTGCTTGTTGTATTCTAGGCACAACGGTACTAGCTAGCCAGACAATCAATAGCTCTTATTAAATTCTTTTCAGTAATTTACCTTTAGTTAATAGCTCCACAAATATTCATTTAAAGTTCCTGATATGAGCACTTAACACCTCCAACTGTTAGTAACGGACTGCAACGCTATTAAAGCCTGTCTGAATCAGAAATCTCTGTGGCAGATTCTCCTACATCTAGCTATACTCCCAGAAACAGCTAAGCTATAGCCCAGCTATAAAGGATCTCCCAGAACCAGCTAAGCTATAGCCCAGCTATAAAGAAATCAAGTCTCTATGGCAGATTCTCCAACATCTAGCTAGACTCCCGAGAAATCTCTGGCAGATTCTCCTACATCTAGCTAGACTCCCGAACTAGCTAAGCTATAGCCCAGCTATAAAGAAAACAGACGTATAATTCAGCTAAGCTATAGCCCAGCTATAAAGGAAACAGACGTGTTGCGCTAAGCTATAGCCCAGCTATAAAGGAAACAGACGTGTAGGGCACGGAGCACCGTTTATTCAGGACGTAATTGCGGCATGGTGTACACGCAGGGAGTTAATCATGATCAGGATGGCGGATCAGGTTAAACAAACAGATGGGAGCTACTCATGATCAGGATGGCGGATTAGGTTAAACAAACGGAGGCCACTGATTGGCCACTGTTTGTGCGGTCGCTGTACACAGAGTTGTACAGCCGCGCCTCCCAATGCTGGCGTGCAGGCATGCGATGACGCACAAAGCGATAACGTGTCCCACATGGTGAACAAATAATATGAATCAATACCCCTAGAAATTAATTTTTAGTGTTTTAGACTTTACAGAACTCTAACATAGAACGATTAAACGGAATAAATAAACGATTTAGTGTGTTTATTACAATTATTACCTTTTATCATATTCTAATTACGATTAATTACTCAATTCAGCATATTGATTTTATCCATGCTGGAATGTATATATCATATATCTATTGAAAAGTCACTTTTATTTCATTTTGTAAGTCGATTTATTACACAAGAAATAAGCTTAAGTGGTGCTATTTTAAATTACCGATAAATGAGAGCATTGATATAAGTAATGGCATTCTATTTATTAAATTTTATTTAGTTTAGCAATAGTAAATACAGGGCGAGTATTAATTGTTGGAACTTTGACAAATAGCATAAATTTTGTTTAAAGCAAAGCGAAATAGGTGTTGAATGTAAATATCGATGTGATGCATTATTCAAAGGACGATTTACCACTTAGAGTTATATATAGTCATTTGCCAGAAGTTTTTTTCTGTTCTCAAAGTATTTATGATGAATTTTCTGACAGCTATCACACTTATCGATGCTCTCACCCAGATATTAGTCTTTAGGAAAATAGTCATTCCCCGGGTGGAAAATTCTAGTGCAATAGCTGAAACAGAAAATGTTATGAAAATTGGACATTTCAAGGAAATATTTTAAAGCATATAATTCCATATACTCTGAATAATTTTCGCTGAAAGGGGTTTGCTCTGAAATTTGATTTCTGGCATGCTAAGTTAGAAAAGTGCTTAATATTCACACAAGCTCAAAGTTTGAAAGTGTTTCTGTTCAAACTAATGTTTGCCCGATCATATCAGTTTACGTTTTATGACTTTTATCAAACAGCCTTCTTCGGCACTAGTTGTATAGTGAAAGGAACAGAACTAAGGGTAACTATTCAAAGGCTAAGATTGAATTTACTTATTTAAATCAAATTGCAGGCCTTTTGATAGCCACCATTAGCCTTTTTATCTGACATTAGGCTTCAAAGAGGGGAAGGAACACCAAAGTGATGACAATTCGAGAGGGGGACAAAATAATGATTCGCTGATGTAAAAGGGACAGGCAGGCACAAAGGCAGAGAAAAGGTAAGATAAGCACTGTGTTAGTGGTCGAATATGGCATAAAGTCGGCTCATGATAGTTTGAAGTCAGAAGTCAACTGCCGATTAATAGACTTTTTTCGTATGAGTATACGTTGCCCAGGGTGCACCACATAGAGGTAAGTCTATCGCACACCCCCAATTTGAACTATTTAACAAATAATTATTAAATGTGTTCATTTCTATAATAATTTTCAATAAATTGGCATTTCTTAATACTTGCTTAGTGACAAAGAGGACAAAGCGTTTGTTGTTCAACGGAATCCTCTCAGTCTTCAACAAGAAAATTTTTATGATGACATATTTAAACATGATGACTGATGAAAGCGCCTACCAAAATAGACGTGGAAATTATTTTTACTTATTGACAAATGTTAAAAGCTATGGGTTGTATTTCATATCAGGCTATATGCTGCAAATATTTATATGAATTACGTATTATAAAGCCACGGCGTTACCTCCTACTATCTTCTAAATTAAATAGTTGGGGGATGACATTGTGTCACAATTATAAGCAGTGATCTCCTGCATATTATTTAAAACTACAGCATTAAGCCATTAAAAGAGGTTCAATACAAAATACTTAGAATAGAGGTCTTGCAAGTCAAATGTAAGCAGCCGATATCAATTTTTGCAAATTTGCATTCACAAGAACCATTCCGCTTACAATCCACTTCTTCGACATATTTGATTCGGCAAAACTAGACTGTCTGCTGTACAACTTCCTCTTAATGCTTCATTATTTGCAAATATTATAAAGATATATATCTATCGAATCTTAAAACGGAAAAAACGCTCGTAAGACCCTTTAGGTCATGCCACTTGATTGACTTGGTTTCATGAGTAATCTAACCGATCTAAATTAATTGCTACTTATCTTATTTTCAAGAAAGAGGCCAAAATGGCATTGTTTATATTTTTTGGAGTAAGGTGCGCCCATCGCCTGATTAGAATAAAAAATATTTGATAAATGATGCACAATGAAATGAATTACGAGTTTCAGAATACAAATATCAAGAGAATGAGAGGCAAGTAAAACGTGGAAGCATCGGTGAAAGTCAGAATGTGTGATTAAGTTGTTAAATATTGTAGGCATTCTGATTGGCTACTGAGATTAAAAGCTTAAAAAGTTCTGAGCTATCAAGGTGGTCATGTGGTTTATGCGAACTAATATCAAAGAAAATGATATTAAAATACAATTCACGAATAAATAAATACAATGCAGGTTAACATTAAATATATAGGATTGTTTATTACATTCTGATGAATCTTTTTGTCCGATAGACTATGTTCTGACCCGCAAAATTCTGATATATATAAATAAAAATATACATATATGGGGGTTGCTCATGCAGAGATATCGGCGGTAACGAGGAGATACTTTGGAAAAAGATACGACATAAAACTTATAAGGAAATGCTGGTCGATAGAACGTGAAGCATGAATCAATATATTTGGGAAAAGTGGGAGCTAAGAAGGGGAGAGTTTGTTAGTACTTTCAGAGCAATCTACCAAAATTTGAAACTAAAATGGAATGCAAAAAAACCTTGGAGTCAAATATACTTACTATATAAACAAATAGAATAAAAATACTAGAAAAAACGTCAAAAATTCAAGTAAATAAACCAAGAACCATTAAAACATCAGAGAATGTAGATGAAAAATTAATTTATTAGGAAATTTAAAAAAAAACTTTGCAAAATAGGAGCTTAAATAATTAAATAAATTTAAATGAGAAAAGAATAAAGAAGAGAGACAGGTAAAGGGCATTCGAAGGAACAAAGGAAACACAAGAAGAAGTTGTACTAAGATTAGAAGGTTGAGGAGGTACAGAATCATCAGTTGCATTGGAATCAGAAAGAGAGGGCGCTTGAGCCGGATCATGAAAATCAGGAGAATCATAAGGAACATTCGAGGAAAAATCGGAAGAATATAAAACCGAAGGGGTAATAGTTTCGTGTTCGAGTTCGTGTTCTGTGCTCATCATATCCTCAGGTG